AGAAAAGGTGTAGTACTAAATTACGTATTTTTGCCCAATATTTATGGAGATAATTACATATAAGTATATAAGCTTATATGTATATGCAAAAAAATAAATATACAATTTGAATAATAATATTTATTTATTGAACTTTAACCAATAAAAAACAAAATAAAACGTCACAAAATCTACATATTTGTCATATCTTCTGAGGAAACTTCTTTATATTTTAAGTTTGAAATCTAAAAATATTATTTAAATTTGAATTTTATTACATCTTATCGTATGTATTAAACAGGGTGTTCCACTGTCACCGAATATCTTTTTAACCAAGAATTGATTGAGTAATTCTAAAAAATTTTTATTAATATCAATTTTAAGGAATTAGTTGTGAAAAGGTCATCCGGTGACCATGGGACACCCTGTATAATTTAAAACATTTATTTTAAAATAACTTCAATATATTTTTAAAAGCTTAACTTAAGTTACAATTCTTTAGCTTTTATAAAACATTTTGACTCGCACTGATTTTAAAATTTTTAACACAGTCCCTTTAATGCAAAACTAACAAAATTAAAACAAATATTGTAATAATAATAATAATTTATTGCATAAAATTGGCAATGGCTTATAATAATATTATCACATTCATAACCGCCCTCAGAGGTGTAGTGGTCAGCGCTTCAGATTAAAAAATACATAGAAACAAAACGACTGTCCTGCTGCTCAATTATCTCTTACAAGAAACACTTAAAAATCATAAATCGTCATGCGAAAGGAATGGTCAGTCTGTATCTTGAATATGTGAAGCAGGAACCAATCACGCAAGGGCCTAAGACCGGCCAGAGTGGCTGAAATGCTGCCTCCCAGTAAATCAGCAAATTACCAACTTAACTTAAACAACAATGCAAATACTTTTGTAATGTTTTGTAATGTTCAAAAAGAAAATTGTTACTCTTATTTTATTCATGATAATAATATTAGAATAAATACTTTTGAGTTTGAGTTTTGCTGCAGACTATACGCCAAAACGTTGTGTCTTAGAATCCCACAATGTCATGGGTATGGCTGTTTTTGTCAAACTCTGTACTGCCCAACTATGGAGAAGGGCAGTAACTGCTAAACAAGAAATTTGTGAAAAATTAGCATACACTACAATTTTATCAAAAGCAGTAGGTATTTAATTGATTTATTTAACTTATGAGATAGTTAACTAGTAAATTTACTTCATTTCTTTATTGAATTAAGACACAAAATGTCCATAGCTTTATCATATCACAAGAAAACGTATTTATAATTTTTTTGTAGTTACTGCCTTTCTCCATAGTAGGGCAGTGTATTCCTGTAATTGGGACCGGTGCACACCAAAAGGTGCTAATTCTGCATTAAAGGGACTATCTGATAAATTTTAACAAACTATTGTATAAAAAGTGTTATTTTAATTTGGTCGGGACTTTTAACCTTGTTTGCACCAACATTACTTTGGGCCCCAAAGTTTAGGATATTCCTTAATCCTTAATAAATACTTAAAAAGTAGAATCGGAATTTTAGGCAGATTGCCATTCGTCAATTTTGATAAAAAACTTAGTGTCTTTTTTTATAATACAAAAAATCGACTTTTTTAAAATGCACCCAATAAAATGGTAAGCTAAATCGCAAGCCACATCACATCAGCTCAAGCGCCAACCATAGCATGGAACCATTGCTACACTCACTAAAATAACACACCGATTTGAACTAAATATGTTAACACCAGACCTTTGCTGCAAACTATTCGCGGTTCGATGTGATCAATTAGATTATAAAAAGTTGTGTTAATTTTTTTTGTGAGCGAAGTCACACATAGATATGGTGCGATGCTATGATCAGAGGTATGGCGCTGACGTTCTTTTTCTTCTAACATAAATATTTTATCGGATAAACGAAATAATTACAAAGGAAATTTTTTAAAAATATGATATGATACTCTCTTAAAATGAAATAGTAAAAATTCTACTATTTGAAGTAGTATCAGCATTTTTTACTAATAAAATAGTCGTTTCCACTTTTAAAGAGTTATTTTTTACTACATAAATTGTTAAAGTTTGACTAATTTAAGATTATTCACCATCTTTGACTATTTTCTTAGAGTTAAAAGTAATTAATTTCTTTAATCGTTTGCGGCCAACAACAAAGTATTACCTATTTGAATTAAATGTATATAGGCTCCATGGATAAATGGCCCATAAAAACAAAGAAAGATGCAAAAAGCAGCAACACAAATAATATATTCAACTTTTTTTAAGAGTAGCATAGCCACTTTGGTTATAACAACAGCTTGACAAGTGACAAACCTAAGTTCAATCATCGGCTGGGTCAAAACTTTTTTAAATTTTAATCTACTAATTTGACTATTTCATTCAGTAGAATTTGACTAATTATTAGAGACTGCTTTTTCGCTATGACTATTTTTCAAATATAACTTATAATAAGTTATTTTTGACTAATTCATTTTAAGAGAGTACTTTAATGGGAAATAAGGCAACAAAACCATCGAAAATGCATTGATATTTTGTTAAATTGTGTTTTTTATAAATTTGAATTATTTATGTTGTGTTTTAAACCCTTAATTCGATTTTTATGTATATTAAAATAAACGCGTTTATTTTTTAATATTGACTTTTTTGTCGATGTTGCCTTTTTTGGTGTAGGAGGCTTTGTTCAATTTAAATAATATATGTTGTTTTGAAAACCAGTCACGCTCGAAATCTTGAGGACAAAAGACGTATCGTAACCTGGCTCAAAACACAAATTGCACAACACACAAAATAAACTACTCTTACAACGCAAATAAACTATACTGCATAGTATAAACAGTAAATTAAAGGCCACCTTACAGTCAAGGAAGTGATAAATTGAGAAGTGATAAGTGACAGCATACCTGATGGATGAACCATCTGACAATAAGAAGAATTTTACGTAAAGAACAAACGAGGCTAACCCTATGCAAGTACTCTTTACTAACCGCATGAGGTAGTTCGTAACATTTATCACGCTCAGGTACCTATCAAACCCTAAGAGAGGTCCTTTGTGATTAAAAACAACTCTAGTAAAAAAATACAAAACAAAGAGCAACACTGGATTATAGCTAAGCAAGACAAATAAATCAATCTCTAAGTGAGTAAGTCACAAAAACCATACACTTTTAAGAGACCCAATAAACAAAAGTGTGTAAACCCATCGAGATAAAAAATAAACATCTGGAAACTACGAACTTACAGACCCTGCGTCTAAAATGCAATAATTGAACTAAAAAGTCGTTACGAACGCATAACAGACAAATACGGACAAATATATTCGAACTTGAACGAGTGGGAACAATACTAGTCCTCAACGTCTATTCCACGAACAGGGAAGGAAAGATAAGATCTCCGCCAGATAGGACGACAATTTCCCTAGAATAGTAGTATGCTACAGACTTGGTACATTAGGTACCCATAACCACTACGATAGTATCTTAAAGGTATGGCCAAAACAGCGACCGGCACCCAAAAACAGTCTTACCACGTTCGTCACAAACGTTAATACACTATAACGCAACCAACAAACAACGACAGGGCAGAAACAAAAGTCGTAGACTACGGCTAGGAAGATAGGCCCCTACAGCGAACTAACAACTATAAAACAGTTATCCTAAATGTTTAAAATAAAACTAATTTCCCGGTCTAGGGGGAACCCGCGTCGTACACAGATTTGAGCTGGCGTAATTGTCCCCTAAACCCAAAAGGTCCATTCCCCGTACCCACCCCCTTTTGATCATACTGGGCGTGTAGCAACAGCCCGGCAAAACCGGGAGAGGCTATTCAAACTATTCGCATGTCGCTCTTAAGCCGCAAATAGGGTACAGAACCGGACACGCACCCAACAAACACGGGTGAAGCCGTGCAGTTGCTGGTGGCTGAAAAAAATCGGCGTAGGGTAACGTAGGCTTGTGCGGGGCTCGGAAGAGATGAGGCGATGGGGCCAGTTATACTACTCTTATACTGCTCAGACTCATATGTTTATTGTTGAGGCATTGTTAGGGCATTTTTGTTACCTCAAAAAATAATCCAACGAATACCACACAAGAGATCAATAAGTTGAAAATTATTATCTAGATACTTTCTCATGTCTGTTGCCATTTAGAAATAGACACTCAAGCCCTACGTTCCAATGTCTATTTCCTAGCAACAGGTTTTCAAAATATTTTTTATTTATTCTCACTCTTTTGTGACTACTAATGATTATATGGACGACATTGATCCAGATAATATGTAGTTTTAGTGGATTGGTGCTCCGAGCCATGATGCCCAAGAAATCGATGTAACGACAACATTATAATACAGAATGATATCGAGAACTTTGATCAGCCAATCCTTATATAAAATTGTCCCCTGAATCCGAAAATGTCGTCAAAAGTTAAAAAAGTAGAAATTTTTTTGAGATATAATCAATTTTCCATTTAATATGGAATTGACTATATCTCACTTTCATAATTTTTAACGGTATTTTCGGATTCAGGTGATAATTTTACATAAGAATTGGCTGTTAAATTTTGGGATACCATGGAATTCTCTGGTTAACCATGGTATAAGTGGAAAAGCAGCCACTAATAGGTAACTATTAAATTAGTAATTTTTGACTAATTGATTTTTAGAGAGTACATAGAAGGTACGTTAATAAAGTTATTAGGACATTGTTCAAAGCATTAATTATATTATTGAAAGCACAACGATATACCAAACTACTTAAGTGGTAAAAACTAACTATTTATTAGTAAACAATGCTAGTACTAATTTAAATAGTAAAATTTGATTAATTCATTTTAAGAGAGTATTTTGATGCAACACTTATTTAAGTTATGTTTGGTGCAAATGGCACTTAGTCCTATATCAAGCTATACGAGTAATTATATAATTGAAATGTAGTTATATATTTTAGTATAAAAACTAACAAATATTTTAAGTTATATTCGTAAAATTAATTCGAAATATCCATTCTTACAAGAAACTATTTGAGTGCATAAACTTTAGCAATGGCATTTTGGTTCAGTATATGGGGCATTACCAAGATCTTAGTCTGTGTACTGTTGTCAATTTCAGGAACCACCAATACATCCTGTTCTTGTCTTCGTAAAAGGTCTGAACAGACCTCGCTAAAACCATCATCGTCACATAAAGTCAATTTCAAAGCTTTTTTCTTTAGTTTCGTAAATCCTTTGGGTAAAGAGGTTTTCCTAAAACTTAGTGTCGGTGCTTTTGGTAAATTAAGAGTTCTTAAGCTGCCTTTGCGTATGTCTTGGTATGGTGTATATTGCAGTAGAGAGTAAAACTGCTTTGTCTCTTCTACAGGCTTGATGGCAATTTCTGTTAGAGTTGTTCTATTCGCAGTAACTTTTGCAATATTGGGATAATCCAATATAAACGGACGGACATTTAATATCGTTTGGACCTCTACATTTTTAGTGGAAAGTTCGTTAGACATTTTTTTTTAAAACCCATTTTGAAGGTTTTTTAATTAACACAAAAATTTTGAGTTAAAATGTTAGGTTGACTTTTGTATTCTTTCAGTGTCATTTTTTATCAAAATTTTATGTTTAAGATGGGATTGCTTATATTACAGCATTTAATGCAGTTTTACAAGAAAAAGAAAAAAGTTATAAATCAAGAATCTCCTGTGCCCAATATAGTTTGTTTGGGAGAAAAAGTTATTCAAGGTAGTAATACAGCAAGTCCGTTGAGTCCGTTCATGTTCAAAATCAATAACATAGATGGAGATATGATAAATAGAACTCCGAAGGAGACAATTCAAGACCTTAGACTGTGCCCAAAAACAATTCATCCTGACAATATATTTAAAAGTACCTGTAAGAACAGAAAATACAAGTACCAGCAACATTTGAAAGGTTCCAATTCCAGTTTAATGTTGGATGTTTTAATTCGACGTAATAAATATCAAGCAATAAGGCATAAAAGAGGTTCCAAACAAATGTGTACAAATTTAAAACTAAAAAACCCTGGTATTAAATGCCAATTTTTGTCAAGTTTGAGTGTAAATACCAATAATGAAACAAATTTTAACACGGATTTACCTTATTTACAATCAAAAGAGAGTTTTAGTATAAATGGAAATGGTGAAAATAAATTCAATACCATCCCTTTTAAAGAGTATTGTTACTACAGATTCTTTGTTAATAATTCTGTTTAAATTCCTATAAAATTAATGGTTGTATACTTTAAAAAGTTTTTCAATAAAATATATAATATCTTCAACCAAAAAAAACCTCCAAAACTGTAAATAATTATTTTTGATGCTAGATTGCGAAATGCCACTTTTGCATTCAAGAATGAAAAAAATCATTCCAAAATGCAAAAGAACTTCGAATCGAGTATCAACCAATATTATAAGTATCAAAATAGTAAATTTTATTAAGAAACTATTTAATATTGACGGAGTTTTAGTGTGGTCTTGAATTAGTTATAATTCAATAAGTTCAGGTATTAAATCAATTCAAGTTTAGGAATAAAAAAATATATCTTTCAAGATCACTCTAAATATTTTGACCTATAATGTAAATGGTTGATAAATGTACTTTTTCTCAGTTTGTGTCACAAGGCCAAGACTGTTTAAATTATAAATTTTGCCTCAGTATTTTGGATTGTGTTTCCAAATTTTAAATTTAAATATTTCAGAAACTAAACCCAAATTCAAATTATTAAAAGTAGTTAATTAAATTTTTAGTGGGGTCAAAGACTGAGGTCGAAAGGGTAGCAGGTCCCCAGTTATGTTTTTTTTTAATTAATTATCCCACTTATTATTAACACATTAACTACAGTATACTGTGTGCAAAATCTAATGAAACTTGACTAAGAAGTTATGATTGGAAAACTATTTTTTTCTAAACTTTGGCGTCGATAATTTTTTAGCAACGTTTTTTAATAAAGGTCTACCTTATTTTTGATGCTCTATTCGAGTCTATTACCAAAGATATTTTTGTAATACCTTTTAAAATTAATGAGGTTTAAACTGAACCATCCTGTATAAACTTTTCTCATGACAGCAATTTAATGTGACAAGTTAAATTAACAATAACTTTAATTTACAAATAACTAATATCAATACAAAAATGTACAACTTTACCATAAATGTTTCTTCAAGAGATAAAATCCATCTTTTGAGAAAAATAAGGAAATGCAAACAAAAAAGTGGAAGGTATGCGTTACAGTCACACGTAAGTACAATTTAGTAAATCACTTAAAATAATTTTAAAATAGAGTTGCAGCTTTATAGGTGACACAATTCATTATTTATCGCCGGCATCAACAGCTTCAAAATCGATAAACGAAGGTGATTTTTTTGACTATCATGATTTTATACCGCCCGAGATTTTCTTGCCAATTGGCACTTATCCCTCTTCTTCGTCAACCTCTATATCCTGCGTTGAACCTACTTTGCAAAGGACAATTTGCATTATTAAACCAGAAGCAATGGAGTACAAGGATGTCGTTTTAAGAGCAGTAACAGAAGAAGGGTTGCATATTATTTCGGTAAGCTATTAACTGATTACATTGAAAAAATATTAAACAGTATTTAACTGTTATTAACATGTACAGTAAAGTAAGCAATTTGTCACGTTCAGTTGACCTCCTTAATCTCCAGATCTAAGTTTATGCGATTGTGGAGGTATTTCAAAAACAATAAAGGAACAATAAGTAGCTACCTAAAGCAGGCCGATAGAGATTCTGTTTTAGTTTGATTGTTTTGATTTCTTATACCTTTAATATCCTTCTTGTTTCCTTTTACCGATCTAATACTATTCCAGAACTTTGGAATTTGTTATACAAATTATATTTATTTCTTTCCCGAACTCTTCCCTGTATTAGGTCTTAATTGTGGTATCAAAAAATTCTATACCATATCAGGCCATAATCATAATTTCTAAGCTCGGTTTGTTTTTTGCTCAGTTTTTTATTACATCTCTGCGTGATAAAGTGTCAAAATTCGTAATTCGCTTACTATACTTTGGGTTAGCGTAATACGCTGTTTTAATATTCTGGGGCATGTTAGCTTACTCTCATAAAATATTTCGCCAAAAATTAAATTTATGTTGTATGAAGAAAACAAATTGCACATCCAGTAGAAAATTTCAAGAGGTTACATATTATCATGTACACTGAAAAAAATAAGCTGTTGAAACAACAAAAAAAATATTAATTCAACTCTTTATGCACTTTAAATACAAGCAATGGTTTTTGCACGTTTACTTAACCATCTAAAAATGTCAAATTGTATTGTTTAATTGAACAACAAATAACAGTCAAATGAAGGTAAATTTCTTGAAATGTCCAGGTAACCTTTTTAGCATATTCACTTAACACCAATAAAATGTTAAATTAACATTCTGAAAATGTAAAATTCTTTAAAGGTTGGTATCCAAAACAAAATTATGGAAATAATATATTATTATATATAAATAGAAAGAATTGAACCTTCACCTCGCCCAGAGTTTTTGTTTTGAGCGTGTTCCACCCATGATACATCTTTGTATCATGTGTTCCACCTACTTCAAATACCGACAGACTGTTTCGCCCTGTATTGAGGGTCTTAACAGTGTCGGGCAATATGGTGTAGTGAAAGTTCTACTGTGGAACACACCTTAAACAAACAGATATCTCATCTTATATACACCTAATCGTAAGCTAACTAAGGCGAGATGTAAGAAAACGTCATTGTCTAATGACGTGGCGTGAGTGTTCGAAGCGCCATTCTCGGCAATTTTATGAATGCAAATTTTACATTTTAAATTTTAAAGTAACATTTTAAATTTGTTAAATGAACAAATTTTAAGTTTTGGATTAAAGAGCAACTAAACGTTAATTTAATAGTTTTTTTAGGTAATCCTAAAAATTTCAGTAGTTGATTCAACAAATTCCAGCTATTAAATCAAAGTACGATAAACATTTTAATTCAAAATATTAGTTTATGTTAAATTAATATTTAAACTGTCAAATGAACAAATAAACTTTGACAAACTCTGACTTTTGCTTTAACACCAAAATATAGATTAATCCAATAGGTTTTTTGTTGAAACAACATTTTTAAAAATGACATTTAGGCAAATGTTAACTCAACTACATTATTTTTTTCGGTGTAATACATGATACAATACATGGTACTAAAAATAATCGGTGCCTGCACTCAAAAATTTTGTTTATTAAGGAATATATAATATATGAGGAGGTCCATTCCAAAACTCGGCTTATCCACTTTTTAATAAAAATAAGTTAGTGGTGTCTGTACATTTAACATGTATACCCCTATACCCTGAAAAGCTCATTTTATTCTAAAACTCACCTTATTCCATTTAAAATTTCTTTACAAATTGACTATCGTTCCAAAACTAGATAACTATTTTGGTTATATCATGCAAAACTGGGCATAATATACGTATATTAAACGTATGTAATTTTAAATTATTTTAAATTGGAGCTATACCTTTTTAATTAAGGTATATAAATGTTTTACTTCTACATATATATTTCGTCTAAAGTATTTTGTTGGCCTAGGGCGCCGCGAAGCCAATAGGCGCCCAGGCAGAAGGCTCATTTTTTTTTTTAAATATTAAAATTAATCAATTAAATTAAATAATTATAATTATTAAACATGGAATACCTACTCTCTAAAAATGTATTAGTCAAAAAGGACTTTAATCACTTGTACCATGGTTAACCATGGGATACCACGTTATCCCAAAATTTAACAGCCAATTCTTATGTAAAATTGTCCTCTGAATCAAAAAATGTCAAAAGTTAAAAAAGTAGAACAGTTTTTAAGATATATTCAATTTTCCATTTAATATGTAATTGACTATATCTGAAGAACTGCTCCACTTTTTTAATTTTTGACGGTATTTTCGGATTCAGGGGACAATTTGAGTATGAGTATGGGAACGTATGGCAGACCACAAAGACAATATCCTCCACTTATCTCCCAGGGTTATTTTACCCCCCTTCTCCTGCGTATCCCGCCAAATCACAGCATTACCTGTGTTTGTTGGATCCGAAGTTTTTACGCCGGCTGGTAGATCCACTCTAGGAGGTCGTGGATGACAGTGTCTATGGTTAAGGCCGCTCCACGGATTTTTGTCAGCCGGGTCGTCCAGTTTAGAAAGGGTTTTTGGAGGACATTGAACTGACCCAAAACTAAGTACAATCCGGAATCCTCCTCAACCATGGCTTTAGTAGTAACCCCATTCAGTTGGGATTCCTGAATGGGGGTAGGTGGATTAGTATGCTACTAGAGCCTATCCTTGATGGCGTACTTCCTGTTCGTCGCTGTCCGAGTTAGATTTCGGTTCCTGGTAGCTGCTTTAGAATTGTTTGCCCCCTGTGCGGTATGGAGTCTTATCTTCAGAACCGAAGTGTTGCCGACCGCACCCCGCCGTAATTAATGCCCTCTGACTACGTGGAAATTCAGCCCCTCTTGCCGAGTACCGACTTTATAAGCAGCTATTTGTCCCGCCTTTGTTTAACCTACTGAAATTGCCGATACCATCGAATTTTTACCTCACTGTGCGGTGCGGCTGTTTATGTACTCATGGAACGGTTATTTACCTAATTTATGGTCCCCTTACGTCTTAGTAATCTAAAGATGTTTATTTCTTTAAGATGGTTTCTTTTGCCTAATGTTTATCGTAACTTGAGTGATTAATGGCTTCTTGTGTGTGCCCTTGTGTTTATAGTTTTTTTACTATGTTTGTACATGGAAGTCTTGAAAATTGTTTGCGACTATTTTTATGTTAGTTAAAGGTTTCGGATTTCGAATTAACTAGTATTAATATTATTGGGTATTATATGGTCATGCAATTTTGGTAACTACTTATCAAATTTATGCAGACTTCGGGATAATTGCCAGGCAGGTGTGATGTAATTGATCCTTAACGCATGCCGCCCGCACGTGTGGAAGTCCAGGAAATTATTCATTGGAACTGATCGTCTCTATCACATCTTTTATCCAGGTAAAACACTTGAGGACTTAATCCAGGGGGAGGTACCACACACAATTTGCGTTTTTTTGCACTTGGAACTGTTATCACGTGTAGAATCGATATTGATTTTTTGTTATTAAACTTTAGCGGTGATGGAACTATGAAAGAAAGAACGCGCCTATCGAGACGCTTGACTTAACTCGACCGCTCAGCTCAAGACTCACAGCGTCACTGGATTCAGGGGACAATTTTACATACAAATTGGCTGTTAAATTTTGTGATACCATGGTACAAGTGAAAAACACTAATAACTATTAAATAAGTCATTTTTGACTAATTCATTTTTAGAGAGTACCCTTTTTTATTTTAATATCAAAATCGGAAATTTGAATAATTTTTTTATTCTTTGATCGCCCATACCGCAGCGCGTGCCGAAAAAATTTGCATGCATAATCAATAATCTAGGGTTTTAAAACAAAAAACTACAACCACTGGCTTTTAGCCAGTTTATTTTTAACATTTTTAAGTAATAATTGTTAATAAATCGTGCCCTACTTGCTCCCAATATCTGTACGCCCCTGTCGGCTAAAATGTATTGTTTTATTTTAAAACCATAGGTACTAACATGGCATATATAATTATTATAAGCTCCATTTTATTATTAGCCTAGGGCAACAAATTGTCTTATTCCGGCCCTGCAAAAGCCGAGTTTTGGAATGCACCTCCTCATATAATATATAATATATAATATATAATATGTAATATATAATATATAATATGTAATATATAATATATAATATATAATATATAATATGTAATATATAATATATAATATATAATATGTAATATATAATATATAATAAACATCTTCGGCTGGTGCGACCGTTATGTCACGCTTGCGGCACGTGCTACACCCCTTTCTACACCGCACATTCGCTCTCGCTTGATAAAGTTTCATGCTAAATAAGTGTCTTCTTGGCACCGCTGTGGCCCGGGTTGTTTGTTGTAAGAATTGTAAGTAATTTTGACTGAATTTTAATTTTAATTTTTTTATAAACATAACATTACATTACAGTAGTTACATTTGGAAACAAAAAAAAAAAACAAAACGTGTAATAATAATTATTAAAAAAAATAATAAAGATAATTATATTATAATCTTTACATTAATTTTGTTTAGGCTTTTAAAGTAGAAATCAGTTTAATGTTCTATAAATATTTAATTGTACAGTTGGTATAATTCATATTATGGAGTTTAAAAGAGGATAAATGTACATTTAGTCTGTTTTAAACCCCATAATTTAAAACACATTAATTTTACCAATATTTATGTTTTGTTAATTTTTAAACTCTCTGTATAATATAGTTTTTTTTTTGATAAATTAGTTAAAAAACTGATTAGCTATCTATAATATAGTACCTACATACTATTAATTGAAATATGAATAGTGCAATATTTTTCTTCATACAAATTTTTAAGTCCTGTAAAAATAATATTTATTATTTATTTATTTATTTAGGTTTACATATTACTAATAGTAATTTCCTATAGTATAGCTA